CCCCCCCCCTCCCCGCCTGGCTGAAGTAATGCTACTAACTAAAGGCTGGTTGGGTGGCTAATTCTCTTCCTACTGGGGTTTTCTTTTTGTAGATGGCCGACCCGGACCTCGTCAACAACGGCAAAGTCCACACCGGCGCCGCCTACTCCATCTCCAAGGCCGCCGTCAACCTCGCCGTGGCAAAGTACAACGCCCGCCTGGCCGACCAGGGCGTCCTCGTCTTCGCCCTGTCCCCCGGCGTCGTGTCGACCTGGGACCCCTCGAGCCCCGAACCTGCGGCCGTCCAGAACCTTCGCCAAATGGTCCCCGGCTGGTCTGGGCCCCTGACACCCACCGAGTCCGCCGACGCCTGTCTCAAGGTCATTCAAACATTTAGCGTCGAAAACGGCAACGGAGGTTCTTTCGTCAGTCACCACGGCACCAAGGAATGGTTGTAGAATCAGGTACCCGGCAGAAATGATGATGATGATGTCAATCATTTATATCCTGTTCCCAATTTACTTTTCATATTCGAAAAGTAGTAGAAGAAGAAGAAGAATCCTCCCCTAGAAACGGGCTCGACGAATCTTACCCACTTGACGTTATCTACCGACCTGGATATCTACCATGTACCTACCATGTACCTACCATGTACCCACCCACCTATCCATCTATCACCCAGCACTCGCACTTACCTGTAGGCTGTAGGTAATTGGTTTCTCTCCGTCCAGTACGACAAATATCGTTCGCCATGTCGCAGTGACAAGACAAATATACTTACTAGGCATGTAGAAACTTCTACGATATCGAGGCACCTAAGGGTAGTTAGGCATATCGTGTCTCTCTCGACCTGTTGGTGCGGCATTCATTCAGGCTATCTGTCTGTCTGTCTTACTCGATGACTGAGACGAGTACAAACAAAAGCCGAACGGAGGGAGAAAATGTTGTGTCACATCCACACCCTTTATTAACTAGGTACCTGGGTAGATGCCATCCTCACCTCAGGTATCGCCATGACCTTTTGATACCGCATACAAAGAAAGAATCTACACATACTCCCTCCTCCCTCTCTCTCCGTCATCATACTGTCATACCTACATTTGACTGTGACTTAATAGGTACTTGTAGCTAGTGCTCACGTACTCTTCCATGAACCATCCCAAACTTGCCCGATGAAATACTCATGCCAGCCATAATACCATAATCACTATACAATACATCCCAAGACACTCATTTGCTTGGTAGCTCATGTACTTTTTTTCATGCTCCAAGGATAATGCAAGCACAAAGAAACCCCAAGGCTGCTTGGTAGTTTATGATCCCACAGTTTTACCATCACAATCTGGAATTTTCAAACCAGCTTTCAACTTCCTTCCTGGATCCATGAGACCCCATTTGTCCTCCCATTCCTTTCCCGGGGTATTGTACACGACTTTCCAAGGCTCGTCAAATGCTTCAAACCTGGCACACACACAAATGTTAGACCACCAACGAGCACTCCATGACAGTCGCGACTTACCAAAAATAATCCGTGCCATTGGACAATGCCTGACACACCCAATCATTCATAAAAGTATTCATGCCATCAACCCCGGCTACAGATCCGCTTTGCCCAGGTGAACAATCACCGTCTGTGCCACCACAATCGGTTCCTCCACCACTGGGCCAACCGGTCTCACTGATCAGTTGTTTCACGTTTGGAAGACTCTCAGTCAGGATCACATCATGGGTCTGCCAAAAGTCATATGTCCAGCCCGCAGCCACTTCGGCAGTGACCCCAGCAAAGAACGGATGAATATTGGACATAACGTAATCCACAACCTGTACAAGTTGTGCGTTCCAATTATCACCCAGATCCGACGTTGCTATTGGCAGATCGTATCCGTTGCTCTTGAATTTGGATCTGGCATCAGTCAAGATATCAATCAACTCTTGCTCGGACTGTGATTTATCTTCTCCTGCGCGGTACAGTGCTTCGTTGCCGATAATGACGCCTTTGAAAATAGAGTGATCCTTGGTGTTTGCTAAGATCTTGTACATCTGGTCCATCTGTCGATCGGTAGTGGTTTGGTTGGTGTCTATCCATACTCCCATCCACAGTTTCATATCGGTCAATCCGAGTCGATCAATTGCATGCAACACCATCTCGGTTTGGTTGCAATCTGTGCCATACAGACGAACAACATTCGTCAGCTGAGATAGGACTGCCATGTCTCGGGTCACGTTGTTTTGCGAAGGTGGATATGTGTGACACAATGGGTATTGGGTACCCCAGGGGGTATAGTCCATGCCTGGGAAGACTTTGTGGAGATCCTTGTTGTTCATGAGCGCCTGAATCTCGGGCGAGTCTTTGCTCAGATCGCCATTGTTTGCAGTATCCGTGGATGCGTTGTTGGTGTCGCCACTAGAACTGGAATCACCGTCGGAATTGCGTGTCCCCAGGACGCCTCCAACAATGGCACCGACGATTGCGAGGACAACGAACAGTCCAATGCCAATACCCACCCACCGTCGCATCTTCCGCTTGCCCTGGGTTTGTTGCGCTAACCAGTCACTCTTCTCGGCCTTTGTGCCATTCCCAACGGGGTCATATGAACCACTGGAAGTCACATTCTTGGCCCTGCGCCCAAAAAGACCACCCAAGACCCCAACAGTTCCAGCACCAGCGGCTGCTGCTGCAGGGCCTGAACTATCAGCACCGTTTGGTCTATTGTCCATCTGCTGGGCATGGGAGAACTCCTCATCACCATCGTCGAGAATGTTGTTCGGGTTGATATGCGCTTGGTTCATGATATTCGCTGAGCTGAGTGATGGATTGTAAGGAGTCTGGTAGGGTGAGTCTTGGTAGCCTAAGTAGGACATAGGTCGATTATGACCTCCGCCGTAATCGTCAAGTGGTATGCTTCTGCCAGAAAAGGCCGAAGATCTTGGACCAGGTGAACCACTTGGAGGGGTCGCGGCTCCCGCGGCGAGAGCAAACGATGAGCCATAGGAGTTGCGCGAAGGCAGTTGCGATGGGGGCAATTCTTGCAGAGACGGGCTGGGGTCTCGACCATAGGCTGAGCTGTAAGGAGTGTAGGACTGAGGTACTGATCGCATGGCCTCTATACCACTTTCACGGGGATGAGTGTCTGCCACACCTCGCGCTATTGTGTTCATACCACCACCAACAACTTGATCCCCGTAATTGTCCGCGCCGGTGGTGACGTCGGAATAAGGCCGGTAGGGTTGTGAATAGCCAGGATTGTCTCTTGACAGTCGGGTCGGGCTACTTCTATGAGGTGGAGGAGGTGGTGCCGGTAAGTCGTCGAAATCGGCCTCTTGGTATTGGGTTCTGGTAGGAGAAGAATCATTCAGAAGGTGTGTGTCTTGAGGGATGGGTCGTCTTCGTGGTGATGTTGAGGGGGAGGATGGCGCTGGCACACGCTGGGGTGACGAGGGTGTATATTCAGGTGGTGGAGAGGTGATGGTCCTGGTAAGGCTGTCTTCAAAAGCATGAGGTTGATATGGCTGGTAATCCTGGCCTTGCATCTGCAAATCATTCTGGTCGTCATTGTGTTCAAAGGAAAAGGTCCTGCCGGTGGACATTGTATATTCTCACTGTCACCACCCGTTATGGCGCGGACCCTTGGTTGATATTGTGTGCGAGTCTATTGAGAATGAATGTGGGTTTAATTCGGCGAGAGTCTGGATTGTAACGGAGGAGGAAGCGAATGTGAGGACTGGGCAGCAACGCTGTGTCAACGGCCCCTCGAGAGTGCAGCCCGCAGAGGCAGAAGCTGCATAGGCGGGAGGATGGTATTCTTGGACGGGGCGCAGTTCAATGCGAATGGGCGCAGGTGAAGCTGGGATGAGACAGGCAGAGACCAAGTGGTCAGATCTATTGTAGTCACTCCAAGGTGTGAACGAGGGTGGTGAGCGTAAGACCAGGACACTCAGACCTGGACTGTGCAGCAAAGGGAGACGGCAAAAGCAGAACACACCAACACCATGATTGTCTGTTACAGCGACTTGATTCAAGCGTGATAAACTTGGATCGGGGGATTCTGTTGCTAGTGAGACAAGCCCACTAGCCGCCCCTAAATCAAGCACCAATCGCATGTCAGGTACAACAGGTGCGGACTGGGGTCTGACAGAAGTCCGGCCTCTCTCGTGATGTGGATGGCGGTGCAACAGGATTGTGAGGCAATAACCTCCTCATTAATCGCACGCCCTAGATATCAGCCTAGTCGTCGTCGTTCTCGTTCTCGTTGTCGTCGTCCTCTGTATCAATCCGTGCGGTGCGGCCCATTCGATCGATCTCGAACGGGAGGGAGGGAGTCCGTGCGAAGCCTCGGCATAAAGTTTATCCACCTCCGCGCGCAATTAAAGACGGGGCACGGAGGATGTAGGCTAGTTCATACGAGTCTGACGATAAGGCATATAGCAAAGGTAGCTACAGTCATGGTCATCCGTACCCGGCACTGAGCTGAATCATGGCTGCAACCACATCTCCAAAGCCAAACGGAGAATTTCATTTGTAAACGGGACTCTGGAAACTGTCTGTAATTGCATACCTACTGTATTCACTGGTATGTTGCATTCTCCCTGGTCCTTGATGGATTCTCGGTGGACGTCACTCCTAATCTCTCGCCATTCGACCATCAACCCTTATGTCCATCGGCATTGTGCGCCTCACCAAAGCATCGCTTCACACTGGTTCTCACTCGACCTTGACCGCTTTCACGAAGCTCCCACAGCTGAACTCCTCACCCACACAACGATCTTGCCCCGAAGAGCTTCGGTCATTCGTCCTGGGTACTGTCATTACCTCCAGTTGTCTCCGATAGGTTTGCCGCGGTTGGACTTCGTTGCCTCGATGGTGTACCGACAAGAGCTTTGCGGCGTTTACGAGAATGAGATTCTTCGTCACTAGAAGAACCTTCTTCCTCGCGGCTGAAATCGCCGGCTGCGTTTGTGCTTTCTTCGTGTTCGGACTCGGAGCCGTCATCACTAACCATCTTGGTACGCTTCAGGGGACTGGTGCTCAAGGCACTGTTAAGAAATCCTCCTCCCGTCTGTACTCGTTGTGTGATGGGCTCACCGTTAGGCGTAGCTAGGTTGAGATTCACCAGCTTGGGGAGATCCAGGGCCTGAATGACAAATTTCGCATAAAAGTCGTCATCCTGATCGTAGATCTTGTAGTTCATGAATTTGACTTTCTTGAATCGTGTCGAGCTCTTACTGGTAGTGATAGAAGGAGCATTATCGTTTGGTCGAGCAATATCTTCATTCTCTCCCGCTCTGTGCCAACCACCTGCGTATTGTGACTCGCCCAACACGACGCAACGCCGAATCAGTACCACTATCTGACCCCCTGGGGTGGTGTGCTTTGTGTTTGTTGCATTCTTCAAAGCATCGGTGATCTCATCGACTTCGCAATCAGTGGACTTGTCCGAATGTTGACTGCCGAGGGAGAGGTCCAAGTCTGATAACATAGCTTCAATGCCTCTTTCTGTAAACATCCACGGTTTGACCACAACATTGGATGAGCTCTCCCCTACTCTTTCAATAGAATGGCGGCCTTTTACAACGACATTCTGCTGGCTAGGATTGAGAAGTTGCGCGTAATCGGCTTTCTTTTGACCACTAATGTAGATCAAGGCTCCGAAAGTGAAGGGAAGCTTCTCCGTGGACTGTTCGCTTGGCTTGGCGACTGCTTCATCAACACGGTTGAGAGGGTTCCGGAATGAGGAGCGCAGGTCATAGCGATGCTTCTTGTGAGGAGTACCCACGAGATGGTCGTAGGCAGAGCCGAAATCGATCTTGATATGGAATTGCTCTCCATCCTTAGCCAAAACTTTGCTGCTAATGACTCGGGCTCGTGACGGTGTGCCGATGCTCTGATTGCCAAACTCGACATAATCTTTCCCATCTGCCGATATTAAAGTCACCTTGAACCCATGTGCTTCCGGCATTTTGAGATGTTTTTGGGATCAGAAGCTAGGATACGATGACCGTAGGAAGTATGGTATGAGATTGATTGATAGTCGAATGTTTTCTGTCGTCCAGGAAAAGCAAATGATGATTCGAAACTTTAAATACGTTTGATGCTGATTCACCCCGGCTCTTGTGCTAAGTGATGCACTTCATCAAATACATTGCTGCCTTGCGGGGCTAGCTTGTGGATGAACAAAGCCGACTAAAGTGGTACTTCACTCGGCGGAAGGACAAGCAGCAAATCATGACGCGAAATCCTTGTTTCGTTGTCGAGTTTTCTCAACCGATCGCTCTTTCAAACCACAAAGGATGAACTGCTTGCGAGACATACGTTGTCCTGCAAAGCCGTCGTCCAAGGGCGAATAATCGTGTCCCCGCTGAGTTTCCTCATGTTTTAGGCACTGCAATCTCATATCCAAGCAGGACTTCGGTCGATGCTCCTTCCCAGCCTCGGTTACCACCGGCTGAGAGCATGAAACGACACGCTGGGTCAAGATAGAGATGGGATACTGTGCCCGTTCGGTGCCCGGGGACAATTAAGAAAGGAACAGCTGATCGCTGCCCCTGAGATTCTTTCAGGTCGTACAATCGAAGAATATCGTGTGAAGCGCAGATGAGATGGCGTCCGTTCGGCATAGCCTTAACTGATGTAACTGCTCCACTGCCATTGGGAAATCGAAACACCCGCTCTGATGTTTTCAATCCTTTCCGTAGATCATATTCTTCCACAGTATTGTTGCGGCGACCCGCGTAGATGCAGTTGCCATCAACTGACCAACAGGCACTCAGACACCAAGGAGGTGTATTCCTTGGAAGCACTCGTGCAACTGGTTTCGGTTGTCTGCGATCCCAGACACGAATGGCACCGTCAATAGATGTGGCTAGGAATGTCGAATCTGAGGTGGGAGGTGCGTCGGCGTCTTCTGCAAATGCTTGCTCATCAGGCTGCTTCTCCATGTCATCCGTATGCGGCAGGCCATTCGCAAGAGGCTGTTCATGAGTGTTCGGACCGCCGTTGGTCATGATTTTAGAATTATCATCAAGATCTGCGATCAGCTGTGGTACTGTCGATGATTCGCCAGTTGACTCCATGGCATCTTGCATTTCATGGTCGATCAGTTCTTCTGGTCGCGATTCATTTGCCAAGGCACGACTCATCTCGTCATCTGCATCAACGAAAGCGTCGGTTAAATCACCGCCATTTCCCATCACAGCCGTCCCACCGTCGCCAAAGAGGTCGTCATCACCGTCACCGAACAACGAGTCTGGTGTGGCAACGCTTGGTTGCTCTTGGGTCGTTTGATTGGGAAGCTGTTCGCTTTTGATACCATTAGTCTTGACGTCTGTGGAAGAAAATGTTCCATTCGGGACGATGACTTCGCCTGATTCTGGAGGAACCGGCACCGAAGACATAGGGCGTGATTCAATTGCTGAGATTTGACTAGCACTCGCTGCAAAGGTCGTTCGTACTTGCCCCGTTTCCAAGTCCCAATCAAGTACAGTCTTATCCCAACTGCCGGAAAGTAAACTCCGCTCATCAGAAGATAGTGTCAGAACAGAGACAGCAGACGTGTGCTTTTTGAGAAGCGCAATCTCTCTGCCCTCGTCGTGTCTGATCGACTGTAATCGGATGGGACCTGAAGCCGTGCCAGAAAGCAACCACAGACCCTGACTGTGGCAAGCTAGTGAGTACACCGGCGATATATTCTGAGTCGTTTGAGGTCTGGCGTCCCAGTTTTCCCAATATGACATAAGCACTCCTGCTTTGACGACACTGTCAACAAATGGATGCCGCTGGGCTACTGTAAGGGCTAGTTTATTGTTGACCGTGTCGACCCAATTGAACTTTCGAATATATCCGTCAGAGCCTCCACTGAACACCCATCGCATGTCGCCTGTGGCGCAAACAGCGTTGATCGAAGTGCTCTGTGGAGCAGCTATTGTGGGAACGATATCGTAAGTTGAAGCGTCGAGGTATTCTGGTGATATTTTGGCGCGAGCCGCAGCTTCGCGAGCCTCATCAGGCTGCATAGCAGAGGACTGTTGCCCCTCTTGTGTGGCGGACGGTTCCCCCGGTGCTTCTTCGTTATCTGATTTTTGACTACCACCAGACTGGCTTCCTGCTTCATCGTCGTCGTCGCCGTCGCCATCTCCCTCGCCGTCCCCTTCGCCCTCATCCTCGCCTTCACCATCATCCGCGTCGGCTTCTAAGTCACCGTCACCATCTTGATCGCCTTCTCCCTCGCCATCGTTGTCGGGATCGCCTTCGTCGAGATCCTGCATTGTCTCGTCATTGTCGTTATCATTATCATTATCGAAGTCGTCCTGGGACCTGTCATCATCTTCGTCAAAGGCCCCCATCTTTGGCTAATAAAAAAAGAATATCCAAATGGCCTCGCCATGTACCAAAACGAGAGCGACTCGAAAGAGACACAAAACAGACGTCGGAGTCGAAGGTTTTCGTGGTCTGTGATTGGCAATTTGACAGCGCGTTGCCGGTTTCGCGCTAGGGTGCATTATATAAGCCGTTGGTGGCATTTCCCCTGTCAGACAGCAATTTCCGGAGTTGCACAGTAGAACTAGAGCAGTATTGTGTAGTCAGACTGAATTTGTGCTTTTGCTTGGAACTTGCTCGTCTCTCCTGAACTTTGAGATCAACCGCCAACTCTATGTCCTCACCTCCAAAGGGCGCAGTATTGTGTGCAAGATCATTCATATTGCGACGCCAATGTGGATGCTTCACACAGTGAACGATTGTGTCAAGTCTTCATGAGCGTTTCAAGGTAGTACGCGCAATTCCTGTCAATGAGGTCGCGCAAACAAATAGACCGGGATTGGACAGCAAACATGGTTGAATATCAGACGCAAAGACATCCGCTGAGCACCTTCAGACTGTTAATCGCCCTACACCAAGATAAAGAGATTCACTGGCTCAGTATGCTGCGTTGAAGCTTTGACTCCCCCAACCTAGTGAAGGTGTTCTTGATTTACTTTCGTTTCAGTTTTCACCCTCTTTTCATCCTTGAGAGCCTCCCTTCACTCCCCCGTCAAAGGATGATCGGTCACAATATGGCACGGGGTGGCCGTTCAAGAGGCCAACGTGGCCAGGCTCGAGGTGCAGGAGTCTCAACCCGTGAGTCAGACATCTTTCACCTGTCTCATCTTCCACTTCGTACTGTGGACCAAGGCTGATGATTTCAGGCAACTACCAAGAACCAGATTCATCTGACAACGGTGGTGAGAATTCCCTACCCGAATCACGCCTCATGCCTCATGTGTTCTTTGAACACCACCCAAGCCGCAGACACCGAATGCACTGACTTCTTCAGATATGAATGCAAATCTCCCTGAACGATTTCGAGGCGGTGGTGCCAGACGCAACTATCATGCTGCAGCAACAACCAATTCCAGCGCGGGGTTTGACATGACCTTGAATCTCGACATTCGTGAATATTCCAACAAACAGGAGAGCATCAAGGCCACCTCAGATCAAGACGACTGGTTGTCGATGCCCGAGTTTCCCACCGCGGAGGAACTTCTTGGTGATGGGCCCCAGCTACTCGCAAACAAAATCAAACGCCCCTACAAGAGCAAAGAAAAGTATCTGAAGATACATTATGACTTGCAGCGAGAAGACGCGATTGGCAGCCTAAGAGATGCTCTACAAGAGTTCCGCAGTGACCCGACGATGAATGATACGCATGATTTCTCCATATACGATCAGGTCTACATCGTCGGCTTCACCTTTCCACGGCGAAGCCTGGCCGCACGTGTTCGATTCTCAACCCGACGTGCAGGTAAACGTATAAGTTGGTCCACGAGCAAGAGATTGGTTTCGGGTTCGATTGTTGTTTTGATGCGCGCAAAGGACAAGCGCGTTGATCTGTCTCGGCTTATTGTAGCAGTTGTGGCGGCAAGACCTCTTTCTGGTGTTGAACTCGACACCCCCGAAATCGATCTGACCTTCACTGACACTGAGGCTGTACAAATTGACCCCCAAGAAGAATTCATCATGCTAGAGTCGAAGCAGGGCTATTACGAGGCTTATCGACATACTCTGAGGGCGCTGCAGAAGCTCAGTCAGGAGACGTGAGTTGCAACTGAACAATACTCTTCCGTGATACTAAAAAGCATGAATAGATTTCCTTTGGCCGACCACATCTGCAAATTGGACCCTTCCGTCCGACCACCTGCGTATATTGAACACAATCCAGTCCTTGATCTCAGTGCAGCTGCAAAGATTGGCCAGAAGAAGGACTATGAGAAGGTTAACGTCCTTCAAAATTGGCCGGCTACTCCGAAAGACTCGCTCGATGACACGCAATGGGAGGCCCTTCGAGACTTAATCACGAAGCGACTTGCTATCATTCAAGGTCCTCCTGGCACGGGAAAGACTTACGTGTCAAAAGTAGCGGTGGAAATCTTGCTACGTAACCGAAAGAGCAATGACCCCCCAATCATTATTGCTGCACAGACAAATCATGCGTTGGATCAGCTGCTCGGACACATCTCCCTCTTCGAGCCTGAGTACGTCCGTCTTGGGGGTAGAAGCACAAGTCCAGAAGTCAAGCAACATGCACTGTTTGAAGTTCGGCAGAAAGATCGCATCAATTTGGTTCCTGGTGGTGTCTTGGGTCGCTCCAACGCCCTTCTCTCGAAGCAGTCCAAATTGATGTGTGAGATTCTTGAACCATTCACCAAACCTGGTTCGGATCCTTACTCAACTGAACAAAAATCTGGTCCCAAAGTCCTTCAGCAGCTGGGCGTTTTGACCGAAGCTCAAGTCAAGTCTTTGGAAGATGGCGCTTCGCAGTGGGTCTCAGCAAGTGACAGTATGGATGGCCCGATTCGACTGTGGCTTGATAGAGCGCTCATCCCTTTCGAGGTCAAGTACGCCAAGGAAGACTATGGCTTTCAGGAGGTCGAAGACGAAGATCTCGAATTCGAACAGTTAAGAGAGAATGAAGATTCGCATGGTGTCAACGACGAAGAGGACATAGAGCTTCTCAAAGGTCCTTGGGTCGGAATTTCTGAGAGATTCACCGTCCGGCCTGCCTCATCGAGCGATATCGCCAAAGCCACCAGACTGTTAGATTCGGTCTCGGACCTATGGCAAGTCCCAGACCACTTACGTGCGGCCATGTTTTCAGTCATTCAGACGAGGGCCAAATCCTCAATGGCCAGACAGTTCCGTGAATGCGCAGCAATGTATGAGAAGTTGATTCGCGACAATCAAGTTGGAAAATGGGAGCAAGATTCCATCTATCTCAAACGAGCACCCATAATTGGCATGACCACAACTGGCTTCAGCAAATATCGTGGCCTCATTTCGTCGCTCAAGCCCAAGATCATTCTCATCGAAGAAGCGGCAGAAGTCCTCGAGGCACCTGTCACCGTGGCTTGCATTGAGTCACTAGAGCATTTGATCCTAGTCGGTGACCACCAACAGCTCCAAGGACACTGCAGTCTCCAAGATTTGGAAAACGACCCATTCTATCTGAACGTATCGCTGTTCGAGCGGCTTGTGAGCAACAATATGCCCTACAAGACTCTTCTCCAGCAACGAAGAATGGAACCCGAGTTTCGACGCCTCATCCAGGACCTCTATCCTAAGCTAAGTGACCACCCCAGTGTACTCAATCGGAGCGTGGAACCCTGGGGCATGGGTCCGCTCAAATCATTCTTCTTTGACCACAGATGGTCTGAGTATAAAGACGATTCACTCTCGACCTACAACGAAGTTGGTCCAACTGTGATTCCCTTGGTGGTAAGGTAATTTTCGCTGACAACAAGTAGGAAGAAGCAAAATTCATCGCTGGATTCTATCGCCACTTGAATAAGAACGGCGTTCAACCACACCAGATCACGGTGCTAACCTTTTACAACGGACAACGAAAGAAACTGCTCAAAGAGCTGCGATTGTTAGCAGACATCACAGCAGGGTACCTTCAGGTCAAGACGGTGGATAGTTATCAAGGAGAGGAGAACGACATTGTCATCCTGTCACTTACTCGGAGCAACGAAGAAGGCAAGATTGGCTTCCTCGCCAACATCAATCGTGTCTGTGTGGCCCTGTCCCGGGCTAGGCTGGGCTTTTATATGTTTGGGAACTCTCACTCGTTGATGGCCGGTTGCGATCTATGGTACAATGTCATCAAGCGAATGAGTATAGCCAAGCGAATGGGCCAGGTCCTACCAGTACAGTGCAAGACTCACCAAGAGACCCTCTGCATCCAGTATCCCCAAGAATGGGCCAAGACAGATGGTGGCTGCTTCAAAGTCTGTTCGGAGAAACTTGCCTGTGGTCATTCTTGTCCATTGCGATGCCATCCTTTTTCCCACAACAAATTCCAATGTCCCGAGCCGTGCACGAAGACTTTACCGTGTGGTCATGGGTGCGAACATAACTGTTCCGAGCCATGTTATTGTTGTTGCGCCGAGTTCGCAAAGTATCAAGCCTTGAGATCTCAAGAGATCTGGACCGAGCTCGACGCGGAGGGTATCAAGAAAGGGGTGCAGGAGGTCCGAATGTTTAAAGAAGCAAATGGTCAGAGTATTCCCTCTCATGGCAGCAACATTCACTCACAGCCGCAGATTCCTAAACCGCGCAATACTGGACCTTCATACCGCGATGCAGTTGTTGCGCCTGAAGATGAGGCCCCGCTTCGCACGTCACCCGAAAAGCCAAAGCCTGGTTCCAAGCAGAATGGCAATGTGAACCCGACAGCGATGCGCACCGTCGAGACGCGTCAACTATCCCCAGAAAAGCAGCAGAACCGAAAGGAACGATGGACCAAGTTTGCCAAGGGTGGTGTAGAAACGGATGATCAGCGATTGGTCGATCTGTCCGAGTCACAATCTAGACGAGAAGCACGATTAAATGATGAGCAAGATGATGGGCTAGAGCAAGCCAGTACGCTACTGCCTTATCCAAATACACGCACAGCAGCTATTGCACAAGAGACCATTAAGACTCTTCCAGGTGGTCGGAATAGATTCTTGCATGATTTTCAACCAGAGGCTGTACGAGGTCGAGGCGCGTCGAATCGGTTGAGGTTGATGAACGGAGGTCAACATGGCGACACTGACAGCGCACAAGCGAGCAAGAACGCAAGCCAAGCCATGTTGCTAGAGGGTGGAACAACAGATTGGAATGGTCTACCACCAGTGTCGAATTGTGACAGTGTCAAAATTGGCAAGGCAAGTGGTACATTGATTGATCTCCAGGACCTTGATTCCTACTATCGTGATTGACAAGTTGAAGATCCTGTTCACCTCTGGCCATGTCTTGTGGCAGTACACAGCTACTTTACACCGCTTTGACCGGGCGTGATAAAGGTAGATTTGGCCTGTAATGTATCGTATTCCTGGTCAGAAAATGGGACAATGCCACAATTCACTTCCATAGACGGACGGTGGTGGTATCATCCCATCCTGGTTCTCGGGCGAATCATATGTTTCAGACGTAATTAATCAATCATTCCGGGGCCGAATCGCAGAACGAAGTTCGTATCCGTTGATGAAAGAGGAATTTACATCCGCCGTGTCATTTGTTACGAGTAGTTCCATTGATGAGGAGCCGGAGAAATGGGAGGAGAAAAGTGTCCGTCTGACTTCCCTGCATTTGTGACCTTCAGGTAGGGGACACTGAAGCCACCGTCACCACCGACCGTCGGTGACAATGATAAATGACATCTCTTTTTTTCTTCTCTCGATGGTGTCATTATGGAACTTGGCTGATTCGTACATGGATAAATAGCTGACCCAGGTACCAAGGTAGGTATTTGTATTTGTAGGTCCTCGCTCCGTCCATTACGTCTGATAACATCAGACACACCAGTTTACCTCTACGATATCCGCTTCTTGTACATACAGTACAACTCCTACTCGTACTACCACTCACTTCCGACGACGCCAAGAGTTCCCATACCACTTGTATACCTTGGACCTTTGGACCTCGGATGTACTGTACCTGAGTAAGTGAATCCCGAGAGCTAGCTACCCGAGTGAAAGGACGCCTTCTCCGGTCCCTAGGCAAGTCCGTGGCTGACAGAGTCAAGTTTTCGTAGATTATTGTACACAAAATCGTTGGTTTGCGAAGCTAAGAACCGAGCGTACCAACATCGCTCAACGGTCAAACGACAACATCAACATCCACCACCACCACAGTACAACATTAGCAAACACCGACGAACGATGGCGTCCGCTACACAGGTCCAATCCTTCCGCGAAATGCTCGGTGAACCGACCCTCACGGCGTCGCCGAAGGATAGCACATTGATCATTATCGACGCGCAGAACGAGTACGTTACCCTGGCCCTTTATTTCCCTTATCAAGCACCTGGTACCCGCGTGTGTGTTTTCGTGTGTGTTCGTAAGTTTTTCGGGTACCATGGGTGGACACCTCCGACGACCAACGAACACGATCGATCGATCGATACCTCTCTCGGGTAACTAGTTAACTTGGTTTCAGATACGCTCAGGGACATCTGAAAACCGTCAATGTCGAATCGACTCGCAAGGCCATTGCGTCGTTGCTCGAGAAGTACCGCGCGGCAGGTGACGGGAAGAACATAGTTCACGTCGTCCACAAGGTTCCTGACGGTGAGTATCTAACTAGAACGTTACTTGCCTGGGTATATATATATACCTTGAACCCCTTTTTGACAAATACCGAGTTTCTTACTTCAGGTACTTCGGTACTTTCGAAGACCTACGGGAGTATCTATCTCACTCCCCTTTTTTGTCTCCCATCTTGGCCTCCTCCCTTCCTCGTTCCCTCGCTCCCTGCTCCTCTCTCTCTCTCTCTCTCTCTCTCTCTCTCTCTCTCTCTCTCTCTCTCTCTCTCTCTCTCTCTCTCAGCTTGTCACCACCTATTACTTACGAGCTAAGCCAAGCTAAGCTAAGCCTCGCCTTCTCATCCACTCGTCGCGGAAGCATTGTTTTACCCGGTTGATACCTGTCAACTGTAAACTGCTTTTCGTGTTCCAAAAACCCCCCTGCGGATATTACCTCTGCGAAAGTCATGCGAAAGTCAATCACCACGCGTGTCCTTGCGCTTAACTGACGCCGCCACGTACGCTGACGGTGAACGACGAACAGGAGCACCGATCTTCACGCCCAACACCATTCTGGCCGAAGAGTTCGACGAACTCAAGCCGCGGCCGGGGGAGAAGATCGTCCAGAAGGAGCTGGTGTCGTCGTTCGCCAACACCGACCTCCACGACTACCTCACCGGCCTGGGCGACCGGGGCAGAAAGACCGTCCTGACGGGGTACATGGCGCACGTGTGCGTGAGCACCACCGCCCGCGCCGGAGCCGACCTGGGCTACGAAGTCGTCCTGGCCGGCGACGCCATCGGAGATCGAGACATTCCCGGGTTCACCGGTCCCGAAGTCACCGACGCGGTGTTGAAGGAGTTGGGAGACGCTTTTGGCACCGTCGTCCGCAGTGAGGATGTCAAGTAGGTGGGTGGGTGGGTGGATCACGATCACCTCCTCACCACTCACCATCACTGTGCAACGGTCCATCCACCGCCGACATACCTTCCTAAGCATATGTAGATAGGGGTACAGGGACGCGCGTACAGGTGTGGGTATGAGCATGAGCATGAGCATGAGAATGACTGAAATTTAAAACAAAAAAAAAAACAAAAAAAAAAA